CACTGCACCAGGGGTGTTTCTCAATATGCACACTTCACCAGGGGTGTTTCTCAATATGCACACTTCACCAGGGGTGTTTCTCAATATGCACACTTCACCAGGGGTGTTTCTCAATATGCACACTTCACCATACTTGTGCTCTCACATACACATTTTACATCATCTTCTATTGCCAAAGACCAGTTCCAATACTCAAGAACAGAAGTATGGAGGACGGTAAAAATCCCCAGATGTCATTCATTCCCCACCTCAGATATCAAGGATACACCTTTTGCATCCTCGCCAAACGAGACCAATCCCATGAATCATTGCACCTCAAGTTCGTTCTTGGGAGGCAACTTAGCAAGACGGGTCTTGCCAAGATTTATAAGCACGATCTTTGTGTTCTTGAGAAATACCCCTGACTGCCGACAAGCCTTCCATCCCACGCCATCAACTGCTCTCACGCCCCCTAGTGGCGCCCGATGGAAGCTTCTGCCGGCACACGCAAAGCGCAACGTCCCTCAAGTCACAACAGACAACACATGCCTCAGCAGGACTCCGAATCTATGACTGAATATCGGTCACATGTTTTTTGGAATACTTTCTCTCCATTTTGCCCTCTTTAATCTCTCCCAAGAGTCTAGCTCTTGCACTTTAAGTTAAAAAACTAACTAAAACTAGCTGGCTTTGACTTGATAATCTAATGAAATGTGATATTTCCAAATTTCTCCCAAAAGCCAGCATGGATATGTCAAAACTTCGTTTCTCATCAAACACAAGTAACATGACTGATTACTAAAATGTACTTATGAACTATAATTAACTCCGTATATAATGTTATATTGCATGCTTTCCAAAGTAAGCCGTAAATGTGTGAATTTTGAAGCAATGAAGTTATATTATTGGATTCAATCCACAGAACACTTAATAGAATCTATCTATCAAAAGCCATAGAGTTTGAGATATTCAAGGATGATTAAGTTACGAAGTTTTTTATGTGGAAAAAACGATCTGAGAGGGAGATATGGTATTCTGCCAAGGGGATTACATTTTTGGATGATCCAGAATATATATAATAAGGAATTTTAATAAGAAAATGACACAAATGTATAAAACATGGTCTGGTCTAGGGGCAGTATTCTTACCTGGGTGTGTTTCATGTCTTCATTAGGTGTCACATACGAATTCCTGAACAACGTTGAGGTTCCGCTTGTGATTTGAACTGGAACAGTGAGAAAAAAGGCAGGTCAGTGTGTGTATCTCTGTGAGTGTGTGTATGAGTGTGTGTGTGTGTGTATGCGTGTGTGTGTATCTGTGAGTGTGTGTATGTGTGTGTGTGAGTGTGTGTATGAGTGTGTGTGTATCTGTGAGTGTGTGTATCTCTGTGAGTGTGTGTATGAGTGTGTGTGTATCTGTGTGTGTGTGTGTGTGTGTGTATCTGTGAGTGTGTGTATCTCTGTGAGTGTGTGTATGCGTCTGTGTGTGTGTGTATGTATGTATGTATGTGTGCATGCCTGTGAGTGTGTGTATCTCTATGAATGTGTGTGTCTGTATGGATTAGGTTTATGCTACATTGTGGGGACTAAATGTTCCACCACAATGTAATAAAAACCTGTTTTTTTGACGTTGTGGGAACCATTCTTCAGGTCCCCACAAAGATCTGTGAATGCAATCAAAAGAGTAAAAATGCCAAAAGTGTCATATTTTGTTTGGTTACTTATAGGTAAGGTTAGGGCTGGGTAGGGATTACAGTCGTTATGCTGTGATTAGAGTTTTCCTCATAGAAATGAATGGAGAGTCCCCACAAAGATATAAAAACAAACCTGTGTATATATATATATAAGCATGAATGTAAGCCATACAGCAGAATTTTCTGTGCTTGGAGGTTCCAAGGTCGTGCAATGAGGCCATTAAAGCTCACAGGCTGGAGATGACCTCAGCCTGTTTACAGAGGTCACATGATCAAGAGTCACATGACCGCCCAGGGAGCGGCCCGGGGGAACACCGGCCTGCTCCAAAGCTGCCTGCTACTCAGCTTTATGTTTCACTCTTAAGCTACTTACAGCAAAAGAACAAAGGCGGGACAATCCGGTCTTCCGGGGACTGCAGGAAGAGCGATCGTCGGCCATTCTAAGAGCCCACCACTGGGGGGCGTCGCACCTCACGCTGGCAGACAGCGCCATGTGACCTTGGAACGATGCATTTAGCTAATCCTGCAAATCTGAGTTAGCCAGGGGGCAACGGGAATGGACTGTGGCAGAGCTGGCGGTGGGCATACGGATTCCTGAGGGGGCGGGAGGGACAAAAAGGCCTAGCGGGGGGGGGGACGGCTCACTGCGCTTGGTATTACCCTCCTTTGTCACAGACACACAGATAAGGCGAGCGACAGCCATCAGCGAAGTGATCACACGATGGCCGTGAGCCGGCATGCACGGAGTGACACAAACAAGCTGAACTCTGGGACAAAACGCAAACTAGATGCCCAGACAAAAGCTAATCATGACTGTGCACTTCAAGCATCAAAATTCATAATTTTTCTTTTAAAAATAAACCTACATGTCGGAACAGTAATATTTCATATTTCATGTTGTGTTTACGGCAATATTCCCTGTTACTGTGAGCAGGCATCAGGCTCTCCACATACGCACAAGGAGATTTAGAATGTGCCCCCCACAGGCCTGTAGCCAGAAATAAATTTCGGGGTGGGGGGGTTGGGGGTGCTCAGTAGATTTCACTGACCAGAAGTGCTAGCTAATTTTGAGCGGGTTTGGGCTACATGCCTGTCCAGGGTCGGGGGTACAAAGCCATACATTATACTACGTGGCCCCGTGCCTGCCCCCCCCCCCCGTGACCTTAAGGGTGTGACGAGGCAAGCCCCCACCTGCCATGGCGTCCTTCCGGGAGGTGTGCTCCCCCTTGTTTCCATGGAAACCGGCATTGGTCCCGGTTGATTCGTAGTCTGCTTTCCTGTCCCTCAGGCTGGTCATCTCGCGTGGCGAGGCGGGGGCACTCGCTGGCAGGGGGGAGAGCGAAACGCCAGTCCGTCAGGGGGGTGCTTTCATACCCCAAGGCGAGCCACCTAGGCTACAATCACCTCAGCTGAGGAAGCGGTCATGGGACAGTGGGACCCCCCCCCCAAAACAACCTGCTGGAAATTAGCTGGAAGGCAAAGGAGGAATTCCTGGAATTCCTGGTTTTAACGCTGATTTCTGGATATAGCGGGGGTGACTGGAACGGAGATGCAATGTCGCACCATTACATCATCAGGCTCATTATGTCGTTACGGAGGGAAATCGCACATGCAGGCGTCTGGCAGAGCGTCCAGGTGGTGTTTGCGTGGCGTCCAATGGGGTCGGCCGCCGTGCCGGGTATCGGCCTCGACGTAATGCGGACGGGTCTGGGGTCCCGAGACTGCCACTCCTCTGAGGGCAATTCAGTGGGGCTGCACTTCACCTGCATCTACTCCTCACAGACAAGAGCCATGTGATTATATTTATTTAACATACGTTTTTATCTATTATCTAGGAAGCGGAATCAGTGGCTGTCATGAGCAAACGGGGGTTAAGGGCCTCGCTCAGGGGCCCAATGATGACATCACTCCTGCAGCTCTGGGATTTGACCCAGTGAACTTATGAACACAGGCATGGAGTCCTATCCCTCTGGATGGGCATTAATGAAGTGTTTTGTACTGGGTATCAGTTTGAGACTTTGGAACAAGCAGAGAAGAGGACAGTCAGGGTTTCCCCAAACTGCGCCCCCCCCCTCCCATGCCCTCAGGCCCTTGCCAACACGGTCGGGCTGCCCCCCCTCAGAAGGTGTCTCGTTAAAGCTGTGTTAACCCTCAAACTTCCGGGGTGCTGTGACAGCTGCGTCCTCGCTGGGGAACTTCACTGCTCCACAAATGATGAGCCCCGACTGTGACTCGCCGGTGCGATACGCTTTCTATTCGTTTGCCAGACATTTGATCAGCGTTTTCATCCAAACCCAAGCACAGACCGGAACACATTACTCACCACACTCACAGATCAAACCGAAGATCTGTTTAAGGCAAAAACAAGTCTCCCCGGCGGAGCCAGACCCTTGATGCTTCAGCCGCAGAGCCGCTTTTTATTTTGCTGCTCTGAAAGAAGCCATTATGCCCGGTGCTCCTTAATGACAGATAGCGGCAAATACGGCGAAAGCACCGATAACGCCGATAACGTTGATCCCGGCTTCCTGAATCAAATGGCTACGGCAAAGTGGCCGGGGCCTAACAGGCAGCAAGTCTGCCAAATTCACCGGAGAGGCGAAGACAGGTTGCTGCACCTGAACCTTCAGAGGCCAGCTAGCATAAAGGGGTCTGACACCATCACCGGGAGGGGGTCAACTCTGCCCCCACTATGTGCGGTTTCTCTTTGACATCACTCCATTACTCGCAGTGGATCAGTCCCACTCTCTCCACAGTGCGGGGTTTCTCAGGAATGGTCGAGTGACGGAGTCTTTCGCTTGTCACAGTAAACTAAGGCTCAGCCATGCTTCCTCTGTCGTGTACGTTACCAAGAAAACAGGTTCCTAGAACCCAACAGGGAACTGATCCTGGGATTAGAACCTACAACCTTCCGATTTTATCCGCTAACCCCCTGAGCCACACAGCTCTCAAGCTGCTGTATTGGTCCCATGTTTGTGTGAGTTTTGGGAAGTGGAGACACTATACTGGCCACGATGTTTCACTACATGTGTGTGTTCTGTGATGAACTGGAACCCCATGTAGGGCCTCCCCCACAAGTGAGGGCGGGGGTGTCGATGAGCAGGACCCAACCTCCACATGCAGTCAGCCCTAGTGGACTGACATGTGTTCCTGTGGCTGCCTGACAGAGGCGCTGTATTTCAGGGGGACGCACTGAAGCCTCGTGCACATAAATGAATGTCTCTACTAAGGTCACAGCCCTCATTCAGCTGTGTGCCAAGGAGAGGCGTACCGTGGAGAAGATAACTACAGCGGCTAATATGGTCCATATATAGAATGTCATAAAAGCCATATCTGCTTGGGATTTATGGCTGTGTTCTGTGGTTAACACCAAGGACAGCCTCCAGAGGACACTGTCCACTCCTCCACACCCCCACAAAGTCCTGTCCTGTTTGAGAAAGCTCTTACGGCATCAGTCTTGGTCTGTGTCTAAGTCCTGTCCTGTTTGAGAAAGGTCTTACGGCATCAGTCTTGGTCTGTGTCTAAGTCCTGTCCTGTTTGAGAAAGGTCTTACGGCATCAGTCTTGGTCTGTGTCTAAATCCTGTTCGGTATAGCTGAGTGAGACTTCCACCCACAGCAGGAATGGCAGCTTGTTGAACAGCCACATCTTCGCCGGGCCGGTGAACAAAGTCCGTAACAGGGGCGCTGGACGAAAGGCACCCCTCTCTGGTGGGGGCTGACCATACTGCCCTCCAAAGGCAAAACACAGTAACTATGCTGGATTTAGAGTGGATTTTGCAGTTTTAACTCAATTTTGATTAAATATGCAGTTACAGTGTTTTGCCTTTGGGGGGCAGTATACCCTGTTCAGTGTAATGAAGACTAAACACATTCTAACTGCTTGCTGAAATAGACACCCCCCCCCTCCCCCTCAGTGTGTGAAAGCGAGGTGAACATTAGCCGGTTAGTACATGGCTACATGGTGTATAGATACTGAATAGCGTATCTGACACAAATGTACACAGTCTGAGCAGGAGTCCCAAGCGAAAGCACAAAGGCTCACGTCACACAGCTATCATACAGAGCCTGTGCTGTGGGGACCATTTGGGGCCATTATGTAATGATAATAGTATTGGTAGATGATGACTTCTGCCTTACATAACTGGTTTCTTTTAACTGACTATTATAAAATATAAAGAACCGGTTTTTAAGTGTCCTTCACCGTTTTATGCTAGCAAATGATCTCTCTCGTAATTTCATGCGATACGACTCCTATGCAGGGCCATAGCTAACACATAATGGCTAATGTCCCCTCAGTAATATGCTGCTGTAGCCATTACTGGGACTCCAGTCTATTTGCCGTATTTTTCACGGAAACGGAGACAGCTGGAAGTTGGCAGAGATAAATGTGTGCTACTGAACTGTACTAACATGCTAATGCTAACATACGCTAAAATGTGCATGCTAACTGATGCTAATCTGCTGAAGCCCATGCCACACTAATGTAATATCCCACACTAACACTAGCCACATGCTAACTTGCATTAACTCTACAGTCTTTGCATTGTTTTAGGGCAGGGTTCCCAATTCTGGTCCTGGGGGGGGGAAGTTTGAAACACAGTTTGCAGATGTCCCTGCTCAGACATACCTACTTAACCTAGCAATAAGCTGATTAAGATTCTGGGGAGCACTGGTTTAGAGTATCAGGATATTTGTTTCCAGTAGAGCGCTCCCTTTTACATGGGGACTGCTTCCCCATACTGACCAGTCAAGGTTAACGTGTCCCCAAATGGTTTATCAGTCAGAAACGTGTCACTGAAATGGCATCATCACTATATCAGCCGTGTCATGCGGCACGCACACGCATGTCAGAACTAATTGTGTTCCTCGGCTCAAGGTCCCCCATGTCATGCCTGACCGACACGCGGCATGCAGGTCAAATTGAGCACATTTCCCCTTCGCTGTGCCGGAACATAACAGAAGCACTGTGTCAAAGCCCGCCCCCCCGCCGGCCTCCGCGGGGCACGCTCACTGGGCCGTTTCACATGTGCATTCGCTGAGGTTAAAAACGACGAGAGCCGGCGGCCTAATTGGTGCCTGAAAGATGAAACCAACTCTCCTCAGGAGCAGCTACAGTTATGCCACAGCGCTAAACTTCGGGCAGAGGCACCCTCCCCTCCCCTCCCCCCAGGGGGGCGTCTCACGCGTACATCTGGGCAGCGGAATCGGCACCAGTTCTCCGTAACGTTATTCAGGGGCTGGAGAGGGTAAGCATGGGACGGCTGGTCAGAATCAAGCATTAGTGCGGGAGGCGTGAGGAGGAGACGCGAGGGGGAGGCATGAGGAGGAGACGCGAGGGGGAGATGCGAGGGGGAGGCGCGAGGAGGAGATGCGAGGGGGAGGCGCGAGGTAGAGAGCCTCACCTGAGCGATTGTTGGGGGACGTCCGCACCGGGGAGATGGAGGGGGTGCGGGAAGAGGAATAGGGCCGCTGCCGGTCCCTCTCGATGGTCGAAGAAGATCCAACGAAGTGATACTGCGCATATCCATCCTGTAACAGAAAGAGGCATGCGGTGGCTGGAATGCTCACAGCGGAATGATCTAGAGGCCTCGGGCACATAACGAGAGGCATGAGTCTGAATTAAAGGGAGTGCGAGAGAGAGAAGAGGTCTGCTCAGATACGAGGTGTGGCAGGGAGACACTCTACAGACCCACATGCCTGACAGTGTCGCATCACATGACCTGGCCACCTGACCTAAACACCGGAGAGATGGTTATGGAGGAGGCTGACCAGAGGGTGAAAGAAAAGCAGCCAATGAGTGCTCAGCATATATTTGGGACCTCCTGCAGGACAGCTGGAACAGCATCCCAGGAGGTCACCTCATGGAACTGGTGTAGAGGAGACAATAGGGTCAGCCAGTCCATGGGGCAACTGGGGTTAAGGGCCTTGATCAAGGGCCCAATGGTGGGATCTCACTCCTGTCCATGGGATTTGAACCAGCAACCTTCTGAGTCCCAACCCACAGAGCTGCTTTTTCTGTTTAATATTTTTTGGTCAGTGCCTATATTCCGTATGTTATTTTCTAGTGTTGATGTCTTTATATTTATTATACAATGTAGAGAACAGTACAAATAAACCTTTCTATGGGTAGGTGTGTCCAAATCTTTGACTGGTAGCGTGTGTAATATCAGGATGAGAGCAGGGCATCAGGCTATGGAGGCATGTTCTGAGGCAGTATTACATGAATAATGTATTTTTAAAAAGCTGTATTCAAGTTTATTGGAAAAAAAAGTCAGTGTTCAATTGGGTACGGTTTTTACGCAATTTGTTCATTTCATTTTAATCTTAATTCATTTATCCTCAATGTGACGTTGATGGTTTCATTTAGTGTTACTTAACCATATAATAGAAACACATCAATCATAAATAACAGGTACAGCAGAAAAAAAACAATGTTAGCAATACTAACAGGAAAGAGTGTATCTCACATGAATGATAAATATAGCACACAATATTTTTTTTAAAAGAGAGAAAGGTACTGCATGATGTAAAAGGTGCTTGTCATTCACAGACATAAAGGGATTGCTTTTTGTGCATAGCCGTTTAAATCCCCTAAAAGTTAACGCGATGGTAATTTATCATTCCTGGAGTACAGCAGGAGGTATGCACAGGCAAACGCATTTGGATCTCCCTTAATCTGAACTTCAAAGGAAACGGACCGAACAGCCCTGCCTCTGATGCGCATGAATGCAGGAACGAACTAAAAATAAGGAAATAAAAAAAATGACTGTGTGCTAGTCTCAGGCTCGGTGTTCGTGGCATTTAATGTGGCGGGGGAGACCCCGGCAACTCGCCCCTGTGACATGGGAGCAGCGTTTAATGCGGCGGGGGAGACCCCAGCAACTCGCCCCTATGACATGGGAGCGGCGTTTAATGCGGCGGGGGAGACCCCGGCAACTCGCCCCTGTGACATGGGAGCGGCGTTTAATGCGGCGGGGGAGACCCCGG